TGGGACTTTTTTTATACCTCTAATTGGCTGTTCAACGAAAGAATGCTCACACTGACCTCTTTGCTCGTTGCCAGCTAAATCAATTTACCCCCGAATTTGCCAGCAAGACTCACTGCTCCCAAACTCCCTGCAGTTTTCCCCCCTCCACACCCGACAAATTGTTTAGCCTTTGTTCTTTGAGTCTGTCTACCGGCTGACTTCCTCACATGTGAGGAGCACTTAGCATGCAAACTAAGTAAACTGCTTGCAAAATCGCTTTTTAAAGGCATTGAGTTATTCTCAGATCTATGAAATGAGGTGTCCCCAGGCTGGGGAAGCTGGCGTGCCCTTGTCATGGTCCCTCCCCAGATGGTTGCTCGGTTACGGAACCAGGCTGACCCGGCCAGACTGGGGAGCTGCGCAGGAGAATGTGGGGCCCAGCAGGCAAATTACCCGACTCTTCTGACACATGGGTTCCATCAGTGCGTGAGCAAGGTTTGTTATGGCTTACTTTTGTTGCATAAGAAGGCACCCCCCAAATTAATGTCTTCAAACAACGCTCGTCCCCTCATGATTGTAGGGTCGGCAGTCTGGCCTGGTCTTCCCTGGGACCAGGCAGCCAATGCTGCCTGCTAGCAGGGTGACCGGGAAGATGGGGTGTCCAGCGCAGGCCCCGCTGTGCGGACCCTTCCCGACCCCTGCTACACCCCACTGGCTAAAGCAAGGCACACAGCCGAGTTCAGATTCCAGGGGCTGAGAGACGGACAACACCTCATGCTGGGAGGAGAGGCAAAGCGCTGTGTGAAGAAGTGAGCAAACGGGGGGGGGTCACTTGCACAAGCGGCCACACACGTGTGTGGGACAGGCCTCCCAGGCCCTGCCTCGCCCCAGAAGCTTCCCGGACACGCCCTCACCCTGCCTCTCATGCTAGAGATACTGGAGGTCACAAGCTGATTCCTGGATATGTGTCGGATTCGTATTTACGTCCCCACCGTGTCCTCACCTGCTTGGTTCTTTCTTATTGAGGAATAATTGTATATAGTATACAAATAAAACTGTATACATTCCAAGTCTACACTGTGGAATGACCGCCACAGTCCAGTTCGTGGGCACGTCCGTCCCCTGCATCGTTGCCTTCTCTGTGGGGGAGAGCATGGAAGATGTACTTCCTTAGCAAATCTCCTGGGCTGCACCTGGGCCCCGACTTACGATGGTTTGACTCACACTTTTTGATTTCATGATGCCGTGACAGTGATCCGCACTCATTCTATGGGTTCTTTTCCTGGGCTGGGGACATGTGAGACGGTCCTCCCTCATGATGCGTGGCAGCGGCTGTGGGGCCAGCTGCGGACACGCTGATGGGCGCTCTGTCCCCACACGGCCATCGGCTTGTCACTTCCAGTGCGGCATTCAGACGTGATGCGAGGCATAGCACCAGTGCTGTGAGCTTGGTTAGGGTCGGCCAGGCTAAGCTGCCATGTTTGGTGGTTAGGAGCCCCATTGTAAGTCGAGGAGCATCAGTAGTCTGTTCTTAACAACTGTTCTGTTGAACGGAGCCGAGTTGAGTTGCCTTGGTTCTCCTTTCTCTTTAATTACGAGCTCCATGAAGGGAAGTGTGGGATTGTTCTGTCACATTAAATCTCCCTCCTGAAGCTCTCAGGGTGATGCTCACAGGGTGAAAATCCTCCAGGTTCTCAGAACCACCAGTTGAGTGGCAGAAGGACCAGGTGTGGAGTCAGCTCAGGTCAGGGCATTGTCCGAGGCAGGAGAGGCCCGGGCCCGTGGGCCTGCCACTGGGCCCTGCTCCTTCAGCCTGACCAGACCCAAATGGCTGAGATCACTCTTGTAGGCTTAGGAGGTGGAAACTCCCAGCAACGGGGACAATGGGATGCGCCTTCCCCGCGTGGGCAAGCCAGCGTTTGAGGGGCCGCGGGGACAATGGGGTGCGCCTTCCCCGCGTGGGCAAGCCAGCGTTTGAGGGGCC